CTCTCTCTCGCTCTCTCTCTCTCTCTCTCTCTCTCTCTTTCTCTGTCTCACTCGTCTCGAGATTTGGTGCTCCGATTTCGGCCATCCGCCCGATTATTATAATGCGGGGATCGCCGGGAGAAGCGGGGGGCCACCCGGTGCTGCTTGGCATCTCACGGGAGAAATTTTGGGGGTTTAAAGGGACTCAGAATGGAAATTTGATCATGTTTTTCGATTCGATAATGTTTGCAATTCCGACAAAATATTAGGAAGTATCCTTGCCTTCATTAGCCCTTTAAAATATCACGGGTTCTGCCCGACTCTGGAAAACCACGAGACACAAATTGAGAAGCAGCTGGTTCAGCAAGACGGCAAACAACTTGACCGACCCGGTCAACTCTGTAGATGCACCGTATTTGCGCGTGAATACGGACGATTCAGGCCGGGGACATCCATTGCGCAATCGAGATGCCGGAAGGGGAGGATGGGCGACGCTACGTTACGCAACCCATATCCAGATCCCTTCAGCTAACAGCTCGCCCTCGGTTGCGCCACAAAACATGAACCTGCACTTGGGCTGGACACTTACACTTCTCTGGGGATCAGGGCTGTTGCTGACAGCAAGCCTAATCCTGAGCCTAAGTTGATCCTAAGCCTAAGCCTAAGTCTAAGTCCAAGTCTGGACCCGACCGAAAAAGTCAAGTTAGCTATAAGCCTAAGCCAGGTCTAAGAGCAAGCCAAGCTTAAGAAAAATATAAGTCATGCAAAAATTCTAGGCCATACGGTTGACCTGAAATTTTCCACAAAGCAGCCGCCGAAAGCCCCCACTTCCCTTCCAAGCTTCCGGTCCTCAAATCGCTCAATGGGGGTGTGTGATAGATTCGAGTAGCTACTAGCTATTGGCCCTTTTGTATCAATGGCTCGCTCGCTCTCTCTCTCCCTCTCTCTCGCTCTCTCTCTCTCTCTCTCCAACCCTTTCGGCTCAACCCACTTATCGTAACCACCAGCTCAGAAGGGGGCACCATATTGGCCGCCTCCAATTCTGCTGTGAGTAGCGATCCCCGGGCGGTGTGACCCAGATGGCGCTGATTTATGTGTTGACTGTGAAAAAGGGTACGGCCAGATCATATCATCAATTGCCCGAGGGGAGTCTCTCGCACTCTCCCTCTCTCTCTCCTCGCTCTCTCACTCTTTCTCCCGGCCGCTCCACCGCCACACCTATAAAAATGATTGAGGTTGGCCTGATAGAGTTTATCACGACCGGAAGAGCGAGAGAGAGAGAGAGATATAGCGAGCTCGATACATTGCGACCAGGTGGCCATGCAGGGGCCGTTTGAGAAGTCTCGTGCTCAAAGATGACCTACCTCCCTAACTAGCCCCAATCAAAAAAAACGGCGCGTGCCATCGCTAGGCCCACCGTAGTAGGGGCCAATTTCGACAGCCACCCTAGCGATCCATTTTCAAAAAATAACCCCGGGCAACGGAGGCGGCTGAAGAAGGCGGATAATTTGGGCCCGACGCCGCCGCCAGCCAATTCAACCCTGATTTGGCCATAAATTTGTGAGGGAGAATAGAGGGGTTGAGGAGGGGACCGTGTCACAACCCATCCCATTCCCATAAATTGTCGGCGTGCACCACCCGGGGCCACCAACGCTTTTTTCGAGGGGGGGGGGGACTGGCTGAAAGCCCCGGCCGGTAGCTGGAGACGCTTTTTGTCTAGGATCTTTAGAAAGGGGCGGGGATGGGTATGCAAATGAGGGAGGACTGGTTAGCGGCTTGGAAATCGGGGTGTAGTAGGCAGAAAAACAGATTAGCACTTTATTGGGCGCGTCATTTTAACTCGAGCGTAGCTGTCGATACCTAGTCAAAGTAGCTGTCGATTTTCGCGTTTCCCAACCCCTTCAAAACCCGATCACCGTGTTTCATCGCGTAATGGGTCAAGCTAAAGCCGCCTCGCAAATATTCAACACCTAAAAAGAGCCGCCAAGACTAATGATTTGACCCTGTCTCCTATTCTTCGTTTTTGAGATGAGAGCCCTGCCGCCCCGCAGGTTGATCACAATCTCCAGCCCGTTTATGGTTATTAATGGAGGGCGTCTCTCTCTCGCTCTCTCTCCCTCTCTCTCTCTATCTCTCTCTCTCTCTCCATTGAATAGAGTATGCCGACGGTAGGGGTTAATAATAGGCTGTCTCCTGCTGGGTTAGGACCTTCTTCCACACCGTTTATGGCCGGCGGTCACCACCTAGCTGATCGGAGCGGCGTCTAGGGCGTTTAGGGGTTTTTGGGTGATTTGCTTATGAAAGAAGTAGAATCTACCTCCTCCTCTATTGGGTCTCGACAACTACTGGGATGCAAAATCCCCTTTGGGATGCGTAAATTCGGAGTGTTTTAAGGTGGTGCCTAGATCCTAGCTGTTCTTAGCTACGTGACTTTCCGAATGACAGTTTTCCAAAGCCGCTAAAAACATCGGCATTTCTCTTCTCGAAATTTGGGCATCATGCGTTTCAAATTTTTTACAAAAATCGTTTATGAGTGACACGTAACTGTCGATTTTCAGCCTTCCTGGCTACTTTAAGTGAAAAACAACCACCTAGGGGATGACCCCGGGGCCTGAAGGCGTATTTGCCAAAGATAAGACGCTAGAGCTACCGTTGGCCCTTATCAGCCCCCGACTCACTCCCGCCGTGAGAATATGGCCCATTAAAGGGGCCACGAATCGAGGCCGGGCTTTGTTTATGGGCTGTGCGTCTCATTGGTGACTAATTGCCCACAACAGTCACCACGGGGGAGGGTTTGTTATTTTATGTCAATTAAGGGGGACAGGTGTGCTAGAGGGGGGAAAGGGTTGACGTTGCGCAGCAGCACCTAGACGTAGACGGGCCCGGTGTCGCTGCTGCCCAAATAAGGGGGTTCCAAACGGGTAAATATGACCCTTCGCTAGAGACTCATTGTCTATTGTCACATCCGGGGGTGAAAAGTAGTAGTTTCGGTTTGTCGGGGTAAAGTTTGGGGTTGCTATGGTAAGAGGGCTGTAACGAAGCCTCGGCTAAGCCTAAGCCTAAGCAAAGCCCAAGGCTAAGCATAAGCATAAACCTAAGCTCAAGCCTAAGTCTAAACTTAGTTTTGTTAGCAATAACCACCATGAACAAAAGCTTAGAGTAAGCCTAGGGCTGTGCCCAGACTAAGCCTAAGCTAAGCCGATGTCTAGCTTTAAATCTATGCGTAAGCCAAGCCCAAGCTAAGTCTCTGCAAGTGCCTAAACCAAGCTACGAAGCCAACTTTGAAGCCCGTCAAGCCAAATGCCCCAATCACTGCGCGTCTTCCCCCCCCCCCTCTAAACTTATTGGTCTCATTGCGGGCCGATGGTTGGGAGGAAGCCCTCTTGAGTAGCGACTTCCCACGATGCCTAACCACAGCCCCCCCCCCCCCTCAAATGCCCACCACCACCACACCAATCCAAATCGCCTCATTAGCTGAAGGGAAGGCCCGAGAACCCGCCGGAATCCACAACGAAGCCACTCATTTCAAGGCGGGGGAAACCTGGAGTACAATGTACAAAGTTAAAGGGACCAGGAAGATGATAAATTACTGCCGAAAATGCGAAAATTTGGCAATATTAAAAGTAGGACAGTTTGTAACTAATGTCGTTTTAAAATGTCCTGATTTACTCTCCTTGTCTTGAAGGTCATTGTCAAGCCTGTAAGTTGAATTCCAGTTATAAAACCGATAGCTGAAATACCGGCATATCCAAATGTCACAAGAGCAAAATCCTGCCAACCAAAATCCCGACGGCCAAAGCCAAACAGCCAAAATGCTGACATGTTTTTCACGCTAGCGAGAAACACTTCATCTTAGCCTGCGTTTTCGCATATCGCTATTCTGGCTGTTGGAATTTGGACGTCGGGATTTTCGCAGTCGGTATTTTGGTTTTCCCCTTCAACTCCATATTTATTGATCCAAAACTCAATCGCATTGTTTAGCCAACCGGTTCCTGTTACCGTAAACAAATCCCCGCACCCGATACCCCGCGATTTATGAAACAGACAACCATTATCCCCACACACAGTAGAGACAATCGGATTTGCATTGACCGACTGTGGTTGTTGACGCAGCTCGGTTTGCCCGATTGGTCGGGGTTGGGCCCCTGGGTTCCTTTTTGTTCGCGCACCCATTCAGAAGGCCCGGCTCGGGCGGTGGTGGGACCAATCGCAGCTGCCTTTATAAACTTTGGTGTCCTCTTTCACAGCGGGGCAATGGATATTTGATGGGGCAGCTGGTCCGCGCATCTTTTAGCAAAAAGCGGTGCAGGGGGGAATCGGCAGCTAAAAATATAGTTTTATAACGGCCTTTTACCTGTAACGTTGCGTTGTTCTGCTTGAAACATACCATCGCGTAGTTACACGTCGACTACTAAGGTATCTAATCTCACCCCGAAATATCTTAATGTAAAATTATATTTTTACAAACCCAAAAATTTGTTAAAAATCGTCATAAATCAAGAATTTCTGGGCTAAAATCCCTTTCTATAATTTGGCTCTACGCGTTCGCCACTTCAAAAATCGAGGATAATGCCCAAAACGCTTTTCCACCCCCGTTTAAGCAACCTTTACTTACTCATCCGAAAAGCACGTCACATTCCCTTGACTCAAAGAAGCGGTTTGGGGTTGATCCTTTCCTTTCGGGGAGCAAGATGATCCGCCACGTGGCCACTGACCGGAAGGAATTCCCCCGCGCGTTCCTCCACGGCCATCCATTCCCGGATCATCGAAAGGGAATGCCGACACTCTCTTTCACACCCCCACAAACACATCCGTCCCAGGCTACTGGCACATCGGGGGTCAGCTAAAATCGAAAAATCTGAAGTGAAATACCCGAGGAAAACCGTGCAAATTCCAGATTCGCGGGCGCATCCAAACTCGGCCTCGACTCGCACACAATTCGCGTCCGCTACACGGAGAGCTTCAAATTCGTGTGCCCACCGGACGTTCAGCATAGTCTCGTCGTTTACCGAGTCGACGAGATGTCCTACATGAACTGTCTGCTGTCGAGCTCCAGCAAGGAAGAGCTCAGGTAATCGGAGGCCCTGTTCGTTGAAATTTTCGATATCCAAAATTTTACTAAAGAATGCTATTAAAAGTTTGCTACGATGTGACTATGGAAATCTGGACATGTAGGAGAAATTCGGATTCCTTCCCCCGAATACATAAGTCTTTACCCCAAACCCCAAATTTCAGGTGTACCCCCGGGGGCAGAGTGAGAAGCAAATTGCTCCGCACCATCAGCCCGATGCCCGGAGCGACGCATTACGAACCGGGCGCCAGCTACTATTACATCTGTAAGTTCGTCTGAAAAAAAGGGAAAAGGTGGAACCTTCCAGCCACCTCATCCGGAAAACACGACGGAATCGAGCAAAAATCGCACGGGCTTTGCCACTCTCAAAACCTGCGGTTGCGCGTCGACGTAGAGGAGAATGCGCCGACCCAAGCCAGCTCTCCAACAGAATCGACCGTGTATATCGGTAAGCCAAATTCGGAGGATATCATAAAACTATCAAAATCAACCTTTGTTGAGTAGCAAAATTGTTGTAGAACATCCTCGCGCACAGCCCTACAATCGAGCCGTCCGACCGAGCAGCATCGAGCCCACTTCTAGCGAGTCGGCCGAAGAGCGTCGAGCGCAAGACGGTAAGCCGCCTAAAACCAAGCACAAACCAACACCTTTTTAGTTCCATTCCGACGGCCCGCTTCAATCACTCCAGAGAAAATGCAGCAGGTCATCGAATGGGCCCAGCAAGGCGTCGAGGGCGACTTTCGTTTTGGCAATGAAGTGGTACGCTGCAACAAAAACTAAAGCCAAGAAATCATTGCCTGCTCTCTTCCCTTGATTATTCTGCTCGTTTCAGCCCGAACACACCTCCGGGATCGATCTGAATCGTCCTGATGGCGGCGCTGAAGCATATTACGTGGTCAATGAGGATGCAGGTTTGTCAAAAGACACGTTCACGAATAACCGGAAATTCTAGCTCTCTACGCATCGAAGACGTCGGGAACTCGATTCTTAATGCCTTTGTTGCTATCAATTGTTCTGCTATTTCGGTAGCCCAGGTCGTCGTTCGTTTTAGTGATATTTAGTGAGAGAGTTTTGATGATAGCACTCTTTCTGGTGATATCCCCCGCCACATCCTTTTTTTCTTTCCTTGTATGCAGTCTCTATTTAGAGCCCGATTGATTTATTGGGACGTGTCCATCTTACTACGGTTTCTTTCTACGGGTCGCTTTGTCGCTACATTTTATTTTCGTAATGTTCGTTTTTTATATACGCTACTTTCCAATAATGGATACCTCGATATGTATATGTTTGTGAAATCTAAAAAAAAATAATGGGAAAATTCTACTTTACGGTATGTTCCCAAAATGTCAATTTTTCGGATGGAATCGATGCAGCTCGATGAGCTTGTGCATTTCCAGTTGAAAAAACGATTGGGAAACGCTTCTGGACAAAGTTATAGGCTTTCGAAAATAGCGAGTATACTTTACGGTATGTTCATAAAATGTCATTTTTTCATCTGAAAACGATAAAGCTGGGTGAGGTAACGCGTTTTCCGTTGAAAAAACAATTGGGAATACCATAAATCAAAAGTTATTACGCTTTAAAGCTATTTTTTTGTAAGGTCCGTAGGCTACGCAACACTCCTATCCCCGCATTCTAAGGCGTTCCCGTCTCTGCCAGTGCTTACGTGCTGGGCTAAAGACATTGGTAACTTGTAAAATAGTATTTTGAGTATGGAAAAGATAATTAAATGTTAGTTGTGGCCTCTAACATTGCCAGGCAAGGTGGGCCGTCGCTTCGGATGGGCTGCCGCTCCACTCTTTCGAAATCGGGGCGCCTGGCCGCTACGCGCGCCTCGGGCGCCCCGATTTCGAAACCCTGTACGAGCTCGCACCCATCCGAAGCGACTAGGCCCCGGGTGGCACGAAGCCTTTTTTTTAGACTCATATTGGGTGTCTATCGGTCGAAAACCAAGCAAAAATGCGATGATTTTCATCAATTTTGGTGTATATTTTCGATAGCCTATAACTTTGTCCAGAAGCGTTTCCCAATCGTTTTTTCAACTGGAAACGCACAAACTCATCGAGCTGGATCGATTCCAGTCGAAAAATCGACATTTTGAGAACATACCGTAAAGTAGAATTTAGCCAAAATAATGAGCAAAAAGTATTCAGCCCACAAACAAGGCAACACGAAAGTCGAAAATTATAATTTATCAAGAATGATTGAGCCGCCTAGACCCCGTAAAAAAGGCATAAAGCACTGGCAATGGTTGGGCAAAGGCACACAACGGTAGAAGAAAATGACCAGAAGTGATAGAATAGAAGCGGGCTGAGCACGGGGGTATTTTATCACAATATATCCAAATGAAAATTGGTACTAATCGACGACGGATTTTTTTACTCTTCCATGCGACGCGGCGATTCGGGCGGAACACTCGGCTCTCCGCTGCCCTAAACGATTCATAATATGTCAAACAAAGTGTCCATACGCCCTGATTTTTCGCGCCGCGACCGAGCATCGTCAAAAACGTTTGTGAGCGGGGCGGGCGAGCGGGACTCTCGCGTGGAGTGATGGTCATCCTGGCGATATCGTGGCGAATGGTGGCGAGCCATGACTGGAAAACAGATTGAAGTAAAAGAAGGTTGATACTGACCAGTGGAACGTTCGTCTCCCAGGTACCGGCACGCGGAGGCTCCGAAACATCCATGGCGGATGGTGAGGCGGCACTGAAAAACGTACGTGCCTACTGAAATTTATCTTACGTTGTATTGGCTGATGGAGGGGGCAGATTTGCCGTAGAAGTGGATGGACCAGAGTCTTGGCTCTAAACAGACCCATTGATAACCATTACAAAATCGTTTCATACCTGATTATCGGCATGGCGCATCTTCTTCGGGGCGCTGCCCGTGAAGTGCTGGACAAGAGCGCTGAAAAGAAAAGAACCCTTGTCTCACGGAAAGCCCCTACGGTCTCATATCCGGTGTACGGAGCGTGCTGCGCGAATCCTGCGTGGTCAATCGCTGGAGATGCTCAAAGGCCACGTTGAGGATGAAGGTGATGTTGCTTTGATTGCCCTCGCCGAGCAAAGCCAGCCCTTCGCTTTGCAGGTACGTTCCGATCAGATCTTGGTAGCCACGAGGTCGACCGACCGCCGCGTCGCCCAATGCCATCATCTCCCGCAGGTATCGCTCGGTGCGGTTGGTCCCTCTTTCGGCAAACTGTGTGTCAGTCACTAAACGAAGAATTCACGCATCACCGCATGATATTTACCGGTTTGATCAAACAGGATCGTGAGCAGATCGCGCAGCGCGAAACGCTCCACCCGCACCGCCGTCTCGGCTACGTCCCATTGGACGTCAAGCTCCTACATTGAGATTTGCAATTCAAGCCTAATGAAATACCTCAAATGTATGCTGACCACCGCCTCGGTCCAAAATTGAGATGATGAGTTCTGGGGATACGGCCATCCTTCCCGCGGCAGCATCAATGTCTTCGCGAGTTGGCCGCGAATTGTCGTCCAAATAGTTGACAGTGATGAACTGACGGAATTGACGACGAAGGCGGACGATTGGTTCCAAGCTAGAAATGTTACGAATAGCTTTGTGCTGAGACAAGATAGTAGTCCGCGGCCTTAGAAGAACTGAAAACGCACTTTCGGGAGAAAAGAGCGAGCAGATCAGGCATACTCATGTAGTCGGCAATGAGACGGTTCATGATTGCCATCAAACCTAAAATCCCAATTCAGATCTCAATAAAAATATTCCGACTTGTTCCTTCGCCCGCTGCGTCCGTGCTCGTATCAGGAAAAAGCTGACCAATAGGGACATTGCTAAAAACAAGAATATAATCGATCAACCTCCCATTAGAGCACCTGCGATTTGTGGTCGCCGTGAAAAGTCGCTGTATCATGTTTCGCGCATTCTCCGTCATTCCTTCGAAGTTTATTGGATTCTGGAAAGAAGACATCATGCATAGAAGAAAGTTTACCCCATTTGAAGGCGCATTCTGGGCTTGGCTGGGTTGTTGGGCAGGAGCCTGGAAGACCACTTGCGCCTCGATCACCGCGCCGATCTGCGTCCTACCAGCAGACACTACAAAACGGAATTACTGGTTTGAAGAACACTGACAGCGGTGCGTCCTGTCGGCTTCATCGAGGAGCCCGATGACGGAGCGAAGGAGGGTGTTGAGGAAGGCGGAGAGTTGCTCATCATTCTCCGCGTACAAACGGCTGTTGCCGGTACGCATGATCTGAACGAGACCTTGTACAGCTGAACCATGTCAAAATTAACCTCCGTGGACTGGGCCAGTGCTTCCATAGGTGGAGCTGGGTCGTTGATCGGTTCCAAGCTAGTTCCAAGCTCTGCGACGAGGCTGTCGATGTGCTGGAAGTCTTCGGCGCCACAGGTGTGTACAGAGGAACATGGCAGCAATGGGTCAGTGTTTCGGTCAGCGTGTCCGCGCTCAATGAACAGATTTCTCGGGATCCGCACACGATGCCGGTCCGAATCTAAATAAAATTGATCATCGAAAATTACCAGGGACAAACCAAAACTAGTCGAAGCGGTAGACGTGTCTCCAGTTTGCTCGGCTGTTTCAGTGCGAGCAGTCGCTTGTTGAGTCTCATCCTGATCGGGAGTGGATTGAGGAGGCACACCCGCGTTTGGCGGCGGAACTTCGAACGGAGCAGCAGTACCAGATGTCAGCAAGCCTCCCCTCAGACCAAATGGGTCAAACTAAAAAGATATTGAAAACGCATCGAGAAACGCCCACCACTGACTGTGCAGTATTTGTTGATGCCGAAGCGCGAGCCCGATTTGCGCGAGACAGGACGGATGCAATTCGGCGAGTAACTAAAATTTCAAAAATTTCCCAGGCCCTAAAATGTTGCGTAACTCTGCGTAAAAAGGTGTATACGTTCTGCCACCTGAACGTGCTCTAAAAACTTCTTACGTGATTGTCCACGCAGTCGGGGAATGCCTCTGGCTCGACTAGGGTAGCCTCCCCTCATGACCATCCGAGGCCTTGGTGGGGCAGTATTGATGTTCTGGTTGTTTGCATTCGACGCTGCCATTGCCGGCTGTATCTGAGCGGCTTCGGGTCCAGCTACCAAATGGAACCATGGACCATCCGTTGCCGCGTTCGGATCAAGCCCCATTGGAGCACCCATCAGGAAAGATCCGGCTGCAGACCCATGTGTCGGTCGGTGCACCACAGGACGCTCTAAATACTGATTAAGGCTTCTAAAAATCGACACTCACGCAGCGCGTGGCCCTCGTGAGGAACGATACATACGTCAGCATAGTTGGTAAGTTGCAACGTCTGCACATAATTGTGAATGCCATCCAAGAAATACCTGGTCCATGTTTGGTGGAGGTAGGTAAATTTGCAGAACAATTTCACCCTCCGGGGCCGGACGCCTTCGACTAGGGGCGAGGACTGGTTGCAGTCGCCTTGGCAGGGGATCAGCGAAATTGACATTCAACTCAGAGAGCAGGTGGTAAAGATGGGAAAGCCGATGGGCAGCCCGCTGTGACAATTCCATGAAGCTCGACAGGACATTGGCCGTTGCGCTCGTCGTCAAAGTCTAAAAACATACTCAGCACGTAAAGATTGCATTGTGTACCTGTGGTGTGCCAATGTCATACGCGCCATGATGTTCAGTGACACGTCCCAATCTTTAAAAACGACCTCAGATTCGAAAACGAACATTTACCTAGACAAGTGATCGGTCATCCGTGTGTTGATCAAATTGAGCCGCTGATAAACAACAGTCAAATCTTCAGGCAGGGCGTGCCTAAATCAGATGGTGACAAAACACGACAATGGCGAACCTAACACGCTGCGGGTAGGCTGGCGGCCAGTCGCCCTGCTGCAGCCGGTCTAAGGGGGGCCGAGTGTAGTCGCCAGAATTTCCAGCGTCGGCCGGGTCCGGGTCGGCCACAGCGATACGCTCCGGGACATCGGAAACTGTAAAAAAAACCAATTTATCTCTTCTCTCTCTGACTAGCACTATAGAATTCAAATAACTGACTTCCCTCAACCAGCCGATCGGCAATGCGCATGGCTTCCACACCCACAGCCCGAATCCAGGCCGTCAAACGCAATTTGAGCAGACGTTGCTCTTCTTCGCTAACATCAAGGAAACGTCCACGCACCGCATCATCAACAATAACACCCATTCCTTCACGCTAAAATATAATTTTGCAGCGCCGAGCCTCGTCTCCTTCACCTCGGTCACTTGCAAGAAGCCCTCGACATGGGCAAGGTGTTCGTAGATCATGAGCAGCAGTTCCATTGCGGTTGAATCGTACTAGATAAGAATTAGTAACCCATTGTATCTAGTTACCGTCGGCTCCGGAGGCCCCTCGAAAGTGACATGAAGGTGCGCCAGTGAACCATCGACTGCTCCGCGCTCCAGCCGGACTTCAAAGCGAATCCCGCTCTCTGTGGTGATCGTCTGCGCAACACGTGTCAAGATTTCCTAATAAAATACATTTACTTTTCTGAAAAAACTCACAAAAAGTGTCGTTAAATCTCGCTCCGATTGTCCATAGATTAGTGGAATCATGTAGAGCAAGCGATTAAGATTCGTGTGCAGCTAAAAATAAAAATAAATTATTGTAGAGACCCCCAAAACCCACCCGACCGACGTGACGGGCCGGCACCAGGCCGAGCTCGGGGGCATTCTCGGGAAGTTGGGGCCTTTCTTGAACGACGATGGGTCTGAAACCGGGTACGCGGGTGGCTACAACAATTACGTTCTCGTTCTGTTGACAAAGTGCATGCACATGCCATCTGTAATACCGGCCTCCGTCAGTCTCTGTACCGGGTTGTCCAGTGGACGACCCTAAAAACATATTGGATCCACGCTAGGTAAGGAAAGGAGTTACCCCGAAAAGCAAGCGATGATCCTCGACGGCGCCGCCCATTTGTGCAGCGGCCCTCGCGAGCAAGTCACCCACCGTCGCGTCTTCGGCGACATCGAACTCAACTTCGCGATTGTCCAACGCTTTCACGCGGACTTTCATCTAAAAGAGTTGTTGAATGTTGAATGCTGATACACACACCACGATAGAAAAAGTCAGGAAATCGGGAGTCATACAGAAATCCATAAAAGAGCTCATGAAACTGGTACTAAGACCAATTAACGTTTGCAGTATGAAGTAGGAAACGACAATAATTGGGACATACAAAAATCTACAGTCGTTGGGCTAGAAACAGTAAGTTTAAACAGCGACTGATTTACCTCTAAGAAAAATAATTATGTAGCTTATTCCCCAACTACGGTATCATCTGCGCGTTTAGCGCTACAATCTCAACGAGTATCCGCGCAAAAGAAACATGCTGTGCTAGACGGCCAAAACTATATAGCCGACCGATCCCCGAATCGCTCCCGAATTTCCACTAAATGTCCTTTCGATACAATCCGACTTATATAATTTTAATCACTGCAACATAAAATCATGGGTAGAGACATTGAAAAGACGGCACGGACAAATGATGGACACAGTAACAGAACGGAACGGTATCCAGGAAGGGCACCAGACCATCGCTGGCCCTTCTTATCAATCAAAGCCTGGTCAGTAGCGGTCATTTCCCTTCTGCATCACTTCCCGGACCGCGATCATCTTCTTTTCAGAAGCCATGACAGCCCGCTTGTTTCGTACTGTTGGGAAGAAAATCGTCTGCGTCGGCCGCAACTACAAGGACCATGCGCTCGAGCTGGGAAATGCTATCCCCAAAAAACCAATGCTCTTCATGAAGGTTAGTCATTTGAGCGTCTTCAATGTTGCACCTACAGGCCACCAGCACCTATGTTGATGACGGCGGCTACGTCGTCACCCCCACCGGATGTACAAACTTGAATCAAGAAGTCGGAAACTGCATAAGCCTTCCTACACTTTTCCTTTCAGGTCGAGCTGGGCGTTGTAATTGGGAAGCAAGCCAAAAACGTTGATAAAGCTAATGCCATGGAATATGTCGGAGGTTATGCTGTTGCCCTCGATATGACCGCACGGGATTTTCAAGTACGAGAACGAAGCCCCGTCAATGCCTTTCTAGGACGAAGCTAAAAAATCTGGTTCGCCATGGTTCTTGGCAAAGTCTTTCGATACTTCCTGCCCGATCAGCGAATTCATCGAGAAAAGCGAAGTGAGAATGTCCCGAAGTTTGTAACAATTTCCAGATTCCCGACCCGCATGACATCGAGCTTTTCTGCAAAGTTAACGGGGAGACGAAGCAACAATGCCAAACATCAGTAATGATTTTCGACATCCCAACGCTGATCGAATACACCTCGAAATACGTGACTTTGGAAGCCGGGGACCTGTTGCTTACCGGAACCCCCGCCGGTGTCTGTTCCGTCAAGCCGGGTGATACGATCGAATTTGGAATTACTGGAAAGGTAACAGAGATTTATAACGTTCTAATTAGGTTCAGGCGAACGCCAAGGTCGCCGTCAAATAGATGCCAATTGTGACTCTCATAGACTGGAATGTGCGAATAACAGTATAAAAATTTCATCCGGAATGGCGAAAACATACGCTTATCAAGACATCACACTGAATGAAAAACCGATCACTCGTTAGATTATTCATCTTCGCTTATTGTACTTTACACGTCGGGTGTCCGGCTTGAATCCACGTCCTTTGGCCAGCTCCTCCTCCGCAATGTCCGAATCTTCCTAAAAAAGGATCCATTAATACACACACGAACCAAGCATAACTTAGCGGTGCTTCCAGGTTAACGGGGGGGGGGTATTTTAGCGGCGGGCGGTTGCCAACTTTTCTTTGTTTAGTCTATACCTGTCTAGTGATAAATTGTAGTTTATTTTAATAGAGTTTTTAGTAGTTTCCGATAATAAAAAAGTATAAAAACATTTATTCTACAGTCACAAAATCTAGGGGCTTAGCTCGTTTTAACCATTTTCATAGACGTTAGACCGAAAAAGCAGAAATTCTCACAGGTTTTATGATGTTTTTTTCTAAAATACTCCTTCTCCGCTAAGAGACCAAAACCACTTGCAACGGCTTACGAGTCTTGAAAAACGTTTAACTTTTAATTAGTCGACCTGCAAGACATTCTAGAAAAAAAGTTCGCAACCGCCCCCCGATAACCTGAAAGCACCCGAATTAGCTTATGTTTAGAGAACGAGATTATCTATTGCTTTGCTTGCCAGCCTAATACTCAGAAAAACATGCCTCAGATTCCTCCGACTCTTCCTCATCATCATCATCGTCGGATTCTTCTTCTGATTCAGAACCGCTCGACGGGAGATCAGCCTTGTCGTTTTTCACGTCCTCATCACCAGACAGATTTCCGACATCGGTGAACTCCACTTCACCTTCTTCTTGCTCGTCGCCTTCATTTAATTTGGCGTTGTCCGGAAGTTCACCGCACGCTTTTAGCTGCCGTGCCTCGTCAGGGTTGTATTTCAAGATGACATCGGACTTTCCGTCTTGAAAATCTCGCAATCCGAGCAAGATAATGTCACCCGTGTTGATCCACACCTTCTTTCGCAGCTTTCCTCGGATATGACAAAGGCGCTGTTTCCCGTCAAAACAAAATGACAAGAGACGACCATTTCCAAGCATCTTGATGACTTGCGCGTATTCTTGACCAGGCTCCTTACGCTGAAGCTCACGTTTCATCACATCGTTTTCATTCTTTCCGCGACGACGGTTCTTTCCTCCCTTTCCCTTATTCTTTGGCATTGCTCCTGAAAATTGAACGTTGCTTTCTGCGGCAAAAATATAAACCTAGAGGAGAGGAATGGGCGAATCAAATGTTTGTTCAAAATGTAGAACTAGCAGCTCCTGTGAAGAAACGCAAGATTGTTTTCCAGCAGCTAATATATCGTGATGCAATCGATGGGTCGAAAAGGCGCGAAAACCAAGCGTCCACTGGTGTACTACAGCGGAGTGAAAGGACCTGGCGGGCGCTAAAAGCGAATCACTCCGGGCAAGGAAAACCCCCCCCATAGGCCGTATAACATTGTCGTAATGCCATCAGATACGAGTGCTGTAAGCCGGTATTGTGTCGAGACATTTCATAGAGATCAACAAAAACTTTATCAACGAAAAACAAATTAACAAAAAGACAATCACTCGGATGGGATCTCGATATCTCCGCTGTTGATCTGGTCGATGACGTCATGTGGGTGTTGACCATCGATGGTGCATCCGACGGATTGAGCGGTTCCTAAAAGAATAAGGTAAGGAAGACAGGCTAAATTCGTACCCAAGATTTCCTTCACGGTTCCTTCAAGCTTCTTGGCCATGGATCGGGGGCGCATGATGCGAGCGATCTTGATGATCGTGTCGATCGTCAGATCACCGGAGTGCTTGACTAAAAAACGAGAATAGGAATCTCCAATCAAGGGATAGTAGCAGAAAAAAATGTTACTACAGCGCGGACATCGAACGAAACTTATTGGCTTGCGTACTCCGGTTCTAGGTTCCGAAGGCACAAAACAATAAGCGACCTTCGCAATCAGAACTGGCTTAACAAAATCGTCAAAAATCCTCCTTACCAGCGATTCATAAGTTACCAGTCAAGAATTACAAAAGACTGGGGGATGGGAGCCAATCGTAGCAACCCGACCCTCATCATACACCAAACTCGTACCATTCTTGACCTTCTTGCGATCACGAGCTGGCTCTTTAAGCTCCTTGATGATCAGTGACGCGGCCGATGGAACGACGTCGATCTTGGCTTGCCTGTTCTGGATGGTGAGCTTGCAAGTGACCTTCAGGCCCTTCCAGTCTTGTGTGGCCTTGGCGATATCGTCTCCGACCTTTTTCGGGGACTAAAGAAAAAAGGCTCTTGCAAGTAATGAAATAACTAACCAGACCGAGAGGTCCGACCTTCGGGGCGAGGGCTGAGGTGGCACCAACTTCGCCTCCAACGCAACGGAGGTAGACTAAAGAAGAGCTTATTAGGTGTAAAACTACCAAATTCTAACCGATCTTGATCTCATTGGGGTCGAACTTGGGCGGCATGACGGAAACTGACTACCAACCAGGGAAGGCGGATGACAGGAAAATGAGACTGGCCGCCTCTATTTTCGTTCCTGGGGGGCTGCGCTGCGGGACCTTTTACTACGGTGTAATGGGCGGGAAATTCGAAAGGCAAGCGACAAACTACAAATTCCCTTAGACAAAGCAGCGCGTCAAACGACGGCTAACAAGAAGATACAATAAAAAATGTTCTAAATGTTTTACTTATCGTAGATGTTCTAGATAAAGTAATTATCCCGATTTAGATCTTTGTCTTGCCAGCCGCCCCGGACATAAC